TTCTCTCTGGTGTTGGATCACCTCGTGCATATTGACATTCTCATCCTGTAGCGCAATCATTCTAGCTTGTATCTGGTCAGCTATTCCGACGAAGGCTGTGTTCTCATCCTGAATGGCTTTTGATCTTCTATTGATCGCCAATGAAGATTCATTCTGTTCTTGGATGTGTCCAATTGCTGCTTGAAGCTCTTGGGACATTCTGTCTTTCGTTGCTTTCACAGATTCAAGCTCTGAATGTTCTTGATGAGTTTCTTGTGCAAGCTCTTGATATCTCATGTAGATATGTTCAGCTGTCGATTCCGCCAAGCGTAGCTTGTGTTCGAGCTCTTCAATTCTTATTGTCGCTCCTTCCTCTTCCTGTGTCATCTCTTGTAGATGTTCCTGCATCTTCCTGTTGTAGTCAGACATTTGCCTGAACTCCACTTCAGCCTCGTGGTGTAGTCGTGAGTATCCGGCTTGGATGCATTCATATTCTTCATGAAGAAAGTTGTATGCGTTTCTCGCCGATCTCAATTCTTCACCCAGCTGAATCTCTCTTCTTTGCTCTTTTGTTCCTCTATCATCGTCACGTCTCTTCTCTATACTCCTTCTTGGGGATCTCGCGGTAGACGTTATAGGCGATGTAGATCTTGTTGTAGCTCTCATCGATCTTCTTGGTCCTACGGGTGCAAGATCGGTCAGATTCCGAGCCGGTGGCACGGATCTTTCCGAGATTTGTGATCCAGTAGGCATAGTGATAACGTCAGCATTTGCTGATGAATCAGTACCCATTGTAGAGTCTGGTGACGAAATGGTGTTGGGACCACCAGGAGCAGCGAATGAATAGGGTTCGCTTCCATTTCCTCCTGAGCTTGACATTGCAGGTTTCTGTAATGACTAGTCTTGTTCTTGGTCTCGTGTAGCTCGTACGGCTATAAAGAGCGCGTACGGCTGATAACCTGCGAGTGGATCTTAATCAGCGAAGTTTGAAGCTATCACTGACGGTCCATAAGCGGCGTAGCGTCGGAACGGAAACCGCACCTTTTCTAGTCGCTTGATCCTTGAGCCAAAGTACATATGGTACATATATATGTACAAGTTGCACTGTACGTGTCGCTGCACTTCCATTCGCAAATACAGTATAGCAAAACATGGAGCGCGTCCGAAGTGGACAATTAGAACACGGCTGAACTGCCCCATCTACCGAATTACATGCAGCCCCGAGCTGGTGCAAGGCTAGCTGAATGGAATGACCCTGAGGTGGCACATGCCCTGTCCTGAAACTTCTGGTCTATGACTCTGTCTTTGATCTACCACCACTTGGGACGTGTCTTTTGTCAGCCTTCAAGAAAGCCAGGACGTCTGACAGCGAGTCTCTGTCGATGATTGGACATGTTACCACACCGCACGCTGAGGTAGGTACTGTTGAAGGTAGGAATCGTGCTAGGTACACAGACTTTTAGGGTACTGTACTTCTTGTGTTGTCTCTCAGAACTTGACATTTTTTCCACGCAACCATGCACCCAGCCGACTGCCTCATCCGGCCCACCAGGCATCAGCCTCGCCACGACGGTCAGTTCTCCCCGCATGCCACGGTTCTTTGCCTTACCCCCCATGGAGAACAGCCTAGCTCCGCTTTTTCGGCGAACCAGCTCCGTTTCGCTCTTCGACGAGGTCAGACCGAAGAGCGAAGTGTGACATGCGTCCTTCTCGGCGAACACCGAGCGCTGTGCAAATCATTCGCGGGAGGGAAGGGTGCAAAAGAATCACAAGGATGCTGAGATGTTCTGAGAACATCCTGCAAAAAAAAAACAAACAACCAGGGACCAAAGAGCACCATGTTGATCTCAACATATCTCAACCTTAGTTGTATGATTATGCTTGATTGAGGTGCAACTTGAACCCTGGTTCGATAGTCTTTGATTGCAGTCCAGAATTGCTGTAAGTCGCTTGCTGGTCATGAGCAACTATATATATATATAGCGAGAGAGAAAGAGAGCGGGAGAGATTGCCTACTGTAACACAAAAAGCTGGATTGGGTCAATGCAAAGCGCCCTGAGACCTGTGGCTAGGCTTCTAACAGAACAATTGCAAAAACAAAATTGCACAATATCTAAACTCTGAAAAATAATGACCAAACATCAAGAAAGCTCATAGAAGATCAGAATTTTATATTATCATCAAAGGGAACCACGCCTTTCATTCTGCCTGTCCCTTACATTGCCTGGGTTGGTACAGTAACTGCCCCATCCGCCGGCGGTCGCCTCAAGGCAATCTTGGCCAAGACCTTCGCCGCTTGATCCACCTAAGCTGTTGAACAGCAGTATCGCAAATGGCACGGAATGAAGTTCGAGTACTATGGAAGTATTATCTGTAGGCGACTACTGCATAATGTATCCAACACACAATATGATACGTTTTACCCTCCCGACACCCAAATCTGCCTCTTGGCCAGTGCTTTCACGGCCCAGTGTAAAGCGGCAGGTGCCCATGGCCCATTCCTTGGGAAAACGTGGAGAACAACCGAATGTTCAGGACATCCACCAGCTTCGAACACACACACACAGATATATATATATATATACACCAGCGCACCAGTGGCATCCAGTGGCCAGAACTTTGGTGAGACGCGTGGGAGATGGGTGGTTCACGTGGTTCACGTGAAGCCATGCACAAACCAATCCGAAGCCGGCAGGTCGAGTATTGGCCCTATAGAAGCTCGACCCTCACAGGGTTAAGGCAGGTCAAGCTTTTGGATGCAAAGGTCAAGCTTGCGGATGGCTTGGAGACCCAGAATTCATCAAGCCCAAAACATGCAATGGTTCCTCTCGTCGGGTGGGCAACAAACAACATGCACGTATGGCATTGCCAACACAAAACCACTACGTCTGTAGTCCGCTGAGAGTCGAACTTTGCTAACTCCCATGGCCTGGAAGCAACAGCATCTCATGCAGAACAAAGAACCATCTTAGTCTTCATGCCACTCACCTACTATCATGCTGAGACAGGTTCGCTGTTGGTGTGGATCGCTTTCTAACACGTCAATAAGCTCAGTGATGGTGCAGTTTTCTTGTGGCACTTGGCGATCCTTCACAGGTACACACGACCGGACTATCCTGAAGAACACAATGTATATTCCCGACCGCCCCGACCACATGTCACTTTCTCATGCTGGTTTCTGTTCTTGTTGCCGAATTGTGGTGGTCGGCTTTTCATTCGCAGCCCTGGCAGCCCACCTCAAGCACATGCGACATGTGCACCTCATCACCTCATGCCAAACCAAACAAAACAGGTTTGCTTGAGAAGCATGCGAAGTGAGCCAACATGAGCCAACCAAAAGAACCACGCATTTTGGGGTATCAACTGACCACATGGATCCAGCACAACCGCCATACCCCCGAAGCAAGTGGAGGAACAGCTTCCAAGCACGTGATTGGATGTGTTTTGGGGCTTTGTTGGGATCGAGCCACTGTGACAGGCAGCGCCCGCAGAGGCTGCAACCTCATCAGCTGCCTGTGCGAGGAAGGCATGGAAAGACTGTGATGGATTTAGGGGGTCTGTTTCTCCACTGGTCCATTCATCGACCTGGAAAAAAAACAAAATGAACTTGTGAACTTCTTCGTAGGCTTGGGGCTTCACAAACTTCGCCACCTTTCACTTTTGCGGCCATTTCAAGTCAACGTGAGGGTATGACTATGACCTGACCTGGGCTCATGATATATAACGCTGCAATTTCATTGCCAACGCAAAGGTGCAGGGAGAAGACCTTGGAAATGCAGCCCCTTCCGCGTGTATCCTTACCAACAGCTTGAAGAACGACCAGTGGGTCAGGGAGGTGCAAGTGGCGCCGCTTGTTGCCAGCACAGGTGAGTCTGAAGCGTTTGCTGCCACCAAAATAACCAACTATTGATTTCAAGGTTGGCCAGGCGAAGCGAAACACAGGAGCCGGGCGGTTGGGAGCAAGGCTCAAATGTCATGGCAGATTCAACTTGGATTCGTTTGCGAAGCACACCAGCTTCAAAAGGAGAGGCCCGTGTGCCTCCGCATTTGTTGTCCCAATCTCCCGCTCAGGCCGTGGGATAGGATTTTCCAGCGCTTCTCAGAAGCCAGGAATCCGTTTTCAACACTCCTGCTCGTTGTGCAAAGAATGTTCGTGTTTCACCTAGGCCTTCTCAGCTGGCTGACTTCACCATATCTTGCATCAAAAGACCGCACTCTTGAATCAACTTCTCGCCGACCTTGTCACTGTCATCCATGTCCTTGGAGCTGGGAAGGGGACACTATTTGTCTGATACCTACTGACATTCATGATCAACAGCCTCGCTATGCCTCGTTTTCCTTACCACAACCTGTATCAACCATGAGAACTACCCCAAAATCTGCTGAATGCCCGAGGAGCTTCCAATTTATCGCGGTTCACTGGGTCAGACAACTGTGCCCCAGTAAGGCCAAGCTTTTTGACCCCGATCTTCTCAAGGAACTTGTCGGCCGTCTCGGCATCCCAATTCCACACACAGTGACTGTCACAACCCTTGGGAGGAACAAAGCGCTTCTCCTGGTCCAAGTAACACTGGTCCTCAAGCCATCCCGAACACACCTTTTGGAACATCTTCTCCCAAGTCTTCTTCTGGTCAGCCTCGGGCCATTCAACCTCATTCATCACCAGCATTGCACCTAAGTGTTCCAAGTCTTTACTGTTCAAGGGCGCAACTGTCATTCTTCACGATTTCCATGACTTTCTATGCTATGTGGCTATGTGCATTGAGCTTTCTCAAGTCATTCTTGCCAGAACCGAGGCACCATTCACGCTGGCTGGGAGTTTGCTTTTGTCGTCCCAAATCTCACCCAATGCCTCCTTGGCCACCTCCTCAGGCCAGATGACCACGCACCTCTTCATCTCCTTGCAACACTGCGGCCAAGTGGCCAGGAGTGACCCAGGGAATCTCCATCAGCTCACGGTTGTTCAAGAATCACTCCATCACTTCACTTACAAATGACAATATCAAACATTCACCAGGGCCATCTGACTGCTGTGGGCATATTTACACAAGTTGGTCCATTGAGTGGATCACACCCCGTACACATAAATAAACTACTGTAATAAGCAATCAAGCTCCAGCGTCCCTCGAACATGCCCTACCCTACGTGTCAGCGAGGCGGTTGGCAGCCTTTTCCTCGGCTCTCTTGTGTCTGGTAATTAAGGTTGGTTTTGTGGGCCGGCATTGCCCAGCCAGCTTGGTAATGTGCTCCGGCATGTTCCTTCTTTTGGTTGTGCAATGTTATGCATGAGCTGGGACCGCCGACCCGTTGGCTTTTTGACCTGCCACACTCTTCGGCTCAGGGCAGGTCGTACAAAGGGAGATCATGAAATCACTTCAATCCCTTTGCACGCACATC